AAGTAACCAAACCACAGGGCAGAGGAAAATGAGGACAACTGCAGTAAGAAGATGCAGGGAGTGCAGAAGGGGAAGTTAATTCCGCCTCTAAAATTCTACATCGTTTGCTTGTCTCATTTATTGCCCCGCTTCCCCACTAGAATGTCAGCTCGGTGAGTGCAGACGTTTGCATCTGTCTTGTTCACTGCTGTATCCTCTGTGCCTAGAACAGTACCTGGCACATGGTAGATGCCCATTAAAATATCTGTTGAATAAATGAATGAATCGTGAGAGAAGGAGGGAGAAACTTGATGAAGCTCTCTTTGGAAACACTTCACAGAGGCAAGAATCCTGGCCATGGGCCTTACCAAAGGAGAATGGTCTTGGTGGACAGCCAGAACTGAATAGCCCCTTGGTCTGAGGGGGCAGCTGGTGGAGTGGGGGTGGGTGGGAAATTGCATGGTGTATTCAGGGAACAGAGTTGTCCAGCACAGAGGAATGTAGGACACCAAACAAGAATGGTGCCAGATCAGGTTGGGAGCAGATGACTGAGAGCAGTCAAAGCCAGGTGGAGGTGTTGTGTGTTCTCTTGCAAGTGTTGGGGTCTCTAGAGAAAGAAATCTGACATCCGCTTACTGACAAGGCTGACTGCCTGCTGGATCCGAGGCTTGCACCCTGGGAGACTGCAGAAGAGCTCTGATTCCCTTTACCAAGGATCTAGTGAGCATCTGGGTCTGCGAGAAAAGACTAAAACAGTGGAAAGAACTAGTAGCAGAAGCTGTAGCAGGAAGGGCCCTGGCAAGGCGGGAGGTAAGGGGCAGGCCTCAAGCTGAGCCTCACAGCCTGGCTGTCAGCCTCATGATGGGGATGGGCCAGCTGGTCCCAAGGGTCCCTGCAGCCCTGACATTCTGAGATTCTAATTATAGAAGTGAAAGCTTCATTCCAGAGAGCTGGGGAAATCCTTGGGATCAATTTCACCTCCCGGGGCTGCTAGTTCAGCTGGCACTGAGGCAGTTAAAAAGGAATGGAATAGAAATCCGGAGAGCCTGCATCAGCCTAATTGTCTCTCAGCAGACTTGTTTGCTTCTAGATGTCAGCAGCTCTTTTAGGAATGCAGAACAGCAGCCTTTTCACAGGCAAGAGTTGGGGCTTGGTTCCTGATCTTTTCTTTTTGCGTTGTGAAGAGGACCTGTCTTATAGGCCAAGAAGAAATCAAAGACCAGCTTCCTTCCAAACTTTGCTTCCAAAAAAGCAAATAAGAAACGTCGGGCTGTAGTCCGAGGTACTACAGGGCAAGTCTGGCATAAACAAGTCTCAATTTTCACGGCAGTCCATCCCACAGGCAGCTGAGAGGGAAGCCCCCATTCCAGAAGGCTCAGCTGAGCTGCTCTTTCTGGGTCTGCGCAAGTGGGGCCCATGGGAGGCCAGTGGCATTGGGCATCATTCCTGGCACACAAGCTGTGCCAGCACAAAGAACCCAGCTTAGGGAAAAGGGCTATGACCAGTCAAACGACTGGTTACTAGAAAGTCACCAGAACTAGTCATGAAAAAAAATAAATACACACCTCAAACAAGCTCTAACTGGTTATTTTTGTGGTTTGACTGAATTCCACTGTCTGAAAAGTGTGAGTGTAGCATGGTCCAAGCTGGATGCCAACCTCAGGTAGGCCCAGCAAATTCACTCAATATATTTAAGGTTCAAAGTCAAAGGTTTCCCGTCAATGCAGAGGGATAGGAGGTGACTGGGTGGGGAGAGCAGGGAGGAGGCCAAGTTCAGCCTTGGCACCTGGTGTTGGCGGCACTATTGCTAGATGGAGGGCAGAAGTAGGGTCAGGAGGAGAGGCAAAGCTGTGTAGCCCGATGAGATTGAGGAGCCCATGGGACAGCCTCGGAGAGAGGCCAGGAAGGAGTTGGGAGGACAAGTGTGGGCTCCAGACAGAAATTCCCTTCAGGCGTCTCCACAGTGGTCTTCTTGCGTGTGGGGGCGGGGCCAGGGGGTGAAGTTCAGTCTGGGTCACAGTCAATTGGAGGAGCTTAAGGAATATCCAGGTGGACATGTCCAGCAGATTGTTGAATACACAACTCCGGCGCTGAGGGGAGAGGGAGGGCTGGTGAGCCAGTGCTGGGAGCCCCAGGGAGTGACGGCCTTCTCTCCCGCCCTCATCCTCTCCTTTGTCACCACGGCCACCAGGACCACACAGTGGTTTCTGGTTCAGCCAAACTCCTCTGGGTCCCTGGAGCCCTGTGCTTGGGGCTTCTGTGGGGACCCCAGCTGCCCACCCTAGTGGGGACCCAGGGCCCCTTGCCGGGCCAGCCTCCTCCTGCCCTCATGCCTTCATCCTCAGGCTTGTCCTGAGGAGTCTCACTCTCCAAGGTCTGTCCTCTGCCCCCTGGCTCCCCTCCCCTGGGCCCACCATGGACAGCCAGGACAAGAGCTCAGCGGTAGGGAGGAGAGGCCTGGGCTGCAGGCTGTGTCCCCCTGGGGCCTTCCGCCATGTTGGGCACATGAGCTGAGCCATCTCCGTGCTGTGGTGGAGTGAGGTTCTGCCGCTGGGGCCACATCCAAAGCCCTGTGTGCACCTTGGCTGGGCCAGGACCTGCCTGAGGGCCAGCGCCCAGGATGGCCTGCTCTCCTTTGCAGAGAGGCCCAGCACCAGGGGAGGCTGGGGAAGCCACCAGCCGGCAAATGGCAGTGCCCTCCCACTTGCGGGGAGCAGCCCGCTCCACAAGGGCTGTGGGAGACGGCTGTTCAGGCAGGAGGCGGAGGGGACCCAGAGCTGAGGCCCTGGCTCTGTATCCCTCTGATGGAAGGAAAGCGGGGAGGGACAAAAGAAGAGAGGAAGGAAGGGAGGAGAGCAGGAGAGAGGGAGCGGGCGCCCATGGCCTCCCTGGGAACCCACTGGAAATGCCCCGTGAGCCAGAGCCAGGGCCGACTAGGGCCAGGGTGGCTGCTTCTGAGACACGTCCTGTGCTCTTGGCGACTGTGTGCTTGGCTGATGCCACCTTCCACAGGTGACCAGGGTCACGCAGACCAGGCCAACAGAGTCCCCAAGGAGAAAATCTCCCAGCGACCCAGCATCAGACCCATTGCTCCTGGTCATCTTGGATGCGGCTGCTGGATCCGCAGAGCTGAGGACACAGGGACCCCGGGCTGGCCCTGACTTGCACGTGACCCTGGGCACAGCCCTGCCCGCTGTGGGCCTGGTCTCCCTGCCTGTCAGCAGCTTGGGCTGGGGGCCTGGCTCACCTGAAGGGCCCTGCTTGTCCCTCCCACAGGCTCCCGGGTACCGACCAGCACAGGGCTCAAGGTGTACCAGGGCCTCTGGGCCACCCTGGGTCAGCTCTGGCTGCCCGCTGCCCAGGGACAGGAGGCCATGGCAGCCTTGGGCCCATCTATTTCCACCCCTCCTGTCCCATCGTGGCTCCAGGGACAGGGTGCTCCCTCCCACCATAGGGGTGATCAAGAGTACTATCCCAAGCTTGTCCCTCCCCCTCTTAGGGTAATGCCAGTCTGGGCACACCTCAGAGAGCCCAAGAGACCAAGACCACTCCCAGACCATCAAGTGTGGGCTCCTGGGGCTGAAAGTTGGTCCCCAGGCAGGCAGTGTCCTTTACTTGGGTGGTGGCTGCTTGTTTTCTGCTCTTGTTCATTTTATTTTTAGCCCACTTCACCAGCCTCTCTCCCGGCCTTGGCAGAACAAGCGCGTGCCCAGGGAAACTGGTGGGCACATTAGTGAAGCAGGCGGCCAGACGGGTCCGCCGAGGGGCTGGGAGGCCGACTGAGACAGTGTTTGCTTAGCTTCATCTCTTTATTAGTGCACTTAGAAACTGCTATTTATATTTTAACCCTCCAGGGACAGCCATGAATCTCTGGATGAAAAGAGTTGATGTATTTCCAGTCTTGAAAGTAAGAAATAATCAGTAGTCACAGACTTCGCCAAGACTGCCAGGGGTGGGAGGCTGTGCAGTGTGGCCCTGAGATGCCCTGGAAGTAGCTGCCAGGGGCAGTGGTCGTCGCCATGCCCACAACCCCTCAGCTTGCAGGGTCTGTGTTCTCCAATGCTAATTGGGGCCATTGGTGGTGAGGATCAGAGGACAGAAAAAGCCTGTGAAAACTGTGGTGGGCAATCTCCAAAGGGTTTCACACCTGGGAAAATGGAGACTCCTCCCCTCCCCCAACCAGAGCAGCAGAAGAAGGTGCCAAAGGCCACCCAGGGAGTGGAGTGGCCAGGCTGGGGCCAGAGCCAGGACCAGGGCTCCTTCCCTCTATGCAAGAAAGTTGCATGCCCCAGCCCCTGGAAGCATCTGTGGAGAGCACTGCACCCCATCTCTGAGCAGGTGCGGATGCCCTGGCCCAGCTCCCTCTGCATAGCTGCCAGGCCAAGGCAGGCTGGTCTCCGGGCCTCAGAGGCCCCTGTGGGGTTGGTGCCCTAAAGGGGTTGCTTGAGCCTCTCTGATCCTACCACTGCCTTCCGAGAGAGGCTGACAGGGGGGAGTGAGGCCACTAGGGGGTCAGTCTAGGCGGGGGTTGGGGAGGAGGATAGTGGACTCCTGCGTTCAGCCCAGCCCAGGCTCAGGGCTGTCATCAAGTGTCTGAACTGAGTTTGTTAAAGCAAACTGAGAAACTTCCTAATATTGAGATGTTTCCCCTGGGAGCTGTTTGCATCTCAGCCCTTGTATTTGGTCTGCTATAGTGAGGATGTTTGGGGACACTTATCAATAAGCTGAACAATTTGCTATGGCCTGCTTGTGGTTTTAGGAGCACTGGCTGCCATCTCTGCAGCTTACTAACGGGAGACAGTTTAAGGACATGCGTAGACATAACTGAGTTCTTCCAGAGCAAGACTAGCTTGCAGCCACCTCAGAATTTAACAGGAGAGAAGCAACCCAAACCTGGCGCCCCTCCCAGGAGATTTCTCTGCCTTGCTAACGGGACCCAGCAATGTGCATTTCAATTCCTGGCGGGGGTTTTCTGCCGAGTCTGACAACTCTGTAATGGTCTTGTTTGCTACCATTCACAGGGCATCAGGCGCTCCACCTACTCTGCCTAGTCCCCCACGGCGACGGCGACAGCTGAGAGAGGAAGGAAGCCCCCGCGGCCGCCCCACCCCTGGGCTACTCTGCTCTGCACGGCCTGGGCCCGTCCTGCCGTGGTGCCTAATTAGACCTCAGGTTTAGCTCAATTAACATCTTGAGCCTTTAGTTTATGGCTAAATCTACATACATTGTAATCTAAAAGCAAACATTTGCCTTTGCTAGCTCTAATTTATGCATAGAATCAGTTTACTGTTCCTGTCTTAATTATTATTTTTTTAATAGCTTTGCAACAGAAAATCAAGCCTGCTGAGTTTTATATTATACTCTGCAACTTATTTTCTTGTGTTTTTTAACGTAAAACATCTAATTAATCCATGTAATCTGAATACTTTATGTTTAAACCTTTCATACTCATAAAACAAACAATGAAAATGTAGCTAATTTGTATAGAAGCTTTTTTTGTCTTGTCAGATACATCAGCAAAGACATGGTGAGAGCGTGAAGACTTTGAAACAAGAAAATGAATGAAATTCCATCACAAGTATGTTAAAGGAGCTTTACCGCCTTAGGAAAAAGTTAGTATTTCAAGAAAGAAGTTCAGTTAACAGTGCCCGGGAGGGGAACCTTTCTTCCTTCAACCTTAGTTTCAGAAAGCACTTGCCCGAGGGGGCCCCTTTGGCCCCAGCACAATTGGGTGAGGGCCCGACAGGCAGGCAGCCCTAGGCACAGGTCACAGGCCCAGCAGAACCAGAGTCCGCCTGCCCCCAGCCTCCCTTCTCCTCGGCACAGTCTGCCAATCACCTTGTGAGCAGCCTTTCTTCTCAGCATCCCCGCCTTGACAGACTGGTGAGCCAGGACAGGGCTTGTCTGCGGCCCCTCATCTCGCCAGTGAAGAAGCCAGGAGAAGATCTGAGAGCTACCTGATCCCAGTTCCTTGGCCTGAGGAAAATCCCCTCGGACCTCGGTCTTGAGTATAAAAACCCTTGAAGCAGCTCTGAGGTGAGAGAGGGCGCTGGAGGCAGAGGAAGGGCTGTGTAACACCACCGCGCGCCAGCACCACGGTCTCCTGGTCCGGGCGCATCTCTTGCCTTTGCAGACACGTCTCAATTTGGCCATGTCCACCAGCCTCCTGAGCCCCAGCCTTGTCAATCCCCACACCTCGCCCTGGCTGGGGATTCAAATCCCAAGAAAGAAAGAGGCTATTTAGGTGCAAATATCCCTAATGAATAAAGAGAGGAGGTTCACTTGCCAGATTATTTAAGGCAAGTTGTCTAAGCCATTTCTCTTTAGCCAGCACGTTGGTCTCGGGGCCTGTAAGGGACATGAGCAGCTCTCAAAAGCCTGGCTCCAGAACTCTCCTGGAACCAGAGCCTGTAAGGAGGAATTGACGAGCAAATTACCAATTATTACTGCAAAAACGTCTCCAAACGGGGTATGGGGAAAGCTCCTGGGAATAGGCTTATCTGACTAGACTCTTTCCAGCAGACAGATTCTAAACTGGCCATGTCACCAGGGGACTGAGGGTGAGGAAGTGGCCAGATGGCACTGGCAACTCCATGGACATTTCCTGCCTCACTGGGCTCCTCCCTAGCCCCTGCTGGTGGGTGTCTGCAGGAGGGCAGCTTGCAATTCCCTGTCTCCACCAAAGCCACCTCTGCCTACCCGGTGCGCTGCCATTGGCCAAGAGTGGTTGGTCAGTATCCAGGTTGACTAGATGCTGACTGGCCTCGAAGACTGTGTCTTGGTACTTCTCCAGTTTGGCTTAGAAACAGGCTGTGATGGAAAGGAAGAATCACAGGGCGGGGCCTCCTTTCCTTGTCTGCCCTTCTCACCTCTGCTCCAGTATCAAAACATTTTGGAGACTCTGCATAACAGCAGCTAGCAATACTTTTATTATCTGTTGTTTGAGGAACACAAAAGGACAAACAGCGATATAAATATGGAAGGCATCCATCTACAGACAGGGCTTGGTATACACGTGGATCCGTGAACTCCCAGCAATAATGCCCCCATTCATCCATGCAGCCAACATTTACTGAGTACTCAGTACGTGCCAGGCCTTGTGTTAGATGCTGAGGCTACAATGAGGAGTAGGACATGGCCCCCGCCTTCTAGGAGTGTGCATGGTCTTTGAGAGAGTTCGTATCACTGGGCTGAAATCAAGGGGTCAGCAGGGCTGGTCTCCCTCTGCAGGCTCCAGGGGAGGATCCTTCCTTGCCTCCTGCAGCTTCCAGGGCCTCCAGGTATTCCTGGGCTTGTGGCTGTGTCACTCCAATCTCTGCCTCCATCTTCCCAAGGCTTTCTCCTCTGCATTTCTCCTCTTCTCAGGACACTTGCCATTGGATTTAGGGCCTACCCGGATAATCCAGGATGATCTGTTCTTGAAATTCTTACCTTAATTACATCTGCAAGGACACTTTTTCCAAGTAAGGTCACATTCACAGGTTCCAGGTGGACATATCTTTTGGGGGCCACCATTCATCACACTACAGGGGAGACCACATGGTGTTCCAGGCTGTTTCCAATGCTTCTCAGAGCTTGCTGCTACTGCTGTGGTGTTTGACCAGGCCCCCCCACTACAGGGCTGATGGGTAGCAGGCAGTCTATACGTCACCTGAATTCTGGTGTATTAGGTACTGGAATCTGCATTGCCTCTGAGCTGGTTATGTCTCTCTGTCAACCACAAAGCTTCCTCAGGAAAGGAAAAAAAGTAAAAGAGAAAGAGAAGAAAAATGTCCCATGCAGAGGAGATAGATAGGTAGATAGATAGATAGATATTCCTCCATTCAGCCACAGAGGTGTTTTCCCAAAGTCCAGTCTGGCTCCTGCCGTTGCGCACAAGCCTTTGATGACTCTCTGGTGCCTGTGAGATGCTGTGTGAGCTGCTAGGTCTGGCCCTCAACATCACATGGACCCAGCCTCCCTCTGCGGCCACCCTCTCCCCAACCCCCCTCCCATCCTCACACAGGTCTGTATCGCAGGCTGGCCCCTTTGCCCCACAGAATATCCTGCCCTCCTCTGCCCCCAGGCCCCTGCTCACTTCGTCCTCACCGAGGATACTTTTCCACACCTGCCCACCTTCTTTCCAGCTCTCCAGGCTCAGCTCAAACCCCACTTCCAAGAACCCTTCCCAGACTCACAGAGCTGAGAATGACTCCCTCCCTCTGCTCTAGTCCCTTCCCTACGGTCCATTCAAGATCATGGTTGGCCTTGTGGACAACTCACTTAACCAGGAGTCTCTTTCGCCCTCTAGGGGATGGAGTTGAACTTGCCCTCTGGTCCCTGACGCCTCACACATGGTAAGATAGGCAATGGATTTTTGTTGGATAGAATTGAAGGAGAGGTGTGCATCTTATTGCTTCCTTCATTGCTTGTTGGCAAGGAAATTAACCAATTCCAAGAGAGGGCATAAAAAGGCAGGAAAATCAACTGAGAGAGAAGAGATCCAGAGTCACCCCACATAGCAGACTCAGGATTTGAAGATCCTGAGTTCTGCCCGGGCCTCTCCTGCTACTCCTTCTCTGCAGGCTGCCCAGTCCAGGTGTCTCAGGCATCCCCCTTGTCTTGGAGCAGGGACTTGGGGTTCATTCTGTTAACACCTGAGATGAGTGAAGATATTGCTCAGGTGGCCTCAGGCTTTGCAGATGTCTCCAAAGTCGCCTTCCTGCTTCCTCCCTACTTTAGCCAAGGCTGGACCATTTCCTTTCAGCTCCTCTGGCTGCTGGGAAAGTAAGGCCCCCAAGGCCACGGCTAGATGTCATACCCAAACCCCTGGAGTCTGTCTCCAGAACCTCCCTGATTTAGCCCCCCTTCCCAGGTTCACAGCCCCCGGGGCAGCCCTCCTGAGCCACCCACCTCGCACCTTGCCCATTTAGGGACTTGCTGCCTTTGTCCACAGTTTCTTCTCAGCCCCTCAGCCTCTTCACAGCTGCTCCCATAGGAACATCAGCGCAAGGACTTCATCCTGCCGTCACTTTGGTGTGGGGAGGGGACAGAGCACGAACTCTGACATCAGCCCTGGGTTTGCACCCCAGCTCTGCCTTTCACTAGCTTATGATCTGCTCTGAGCCTCAGTTCCCAGTGAACTCATTCATTCACTTACTCAGTAAAACCAAAAAAACCTTTATGGAGCACCTACTGGGTACCAGGCCTACTATGTGCTATCCATTGGGAGTACAGCAGTGAAAAGGACAGTATCCCTGCCCTCCAGGAGCTCCCTTCTTGATCCTGCAAGGTGCCAGCCATGTAAATAAGCATAATAGAAGGAGACAAAGGATATGATGTTGGGGCCCCATGCTGTGCTCTGATGTGACTGCTGAGCTCCTAAAAATGTCCCACTCGCAAGTGTTATATTATGAAAACATAGCAAAGGGCTAGGGGCTAGAGAATTCTGGACTTGCAATAAAAAACCATTTTTTTCCTGCAAGGATTTTAATAAAAAAGATTTTTTAAAAAATAGTTGTGGGTATACTTAGTTTTTGCAAGCTAAGATAATCAGCTGCTCCAAGTGGACAGAACATACGTGAATACCACTGAGCCCATCCTGAACAGCACAGAAAGCCAAAGTCAAGTTTCTCTACTGCCCAAATACTGCCTGTCCCCAATTTTGAGATAGTGTGATTGATAAGATGCAAATAATTTAATAATAGTTTTTCAGGAAGAAATAAAGAAGAAGCAAAACTCCATTGAAGGTGCCCACGGATAGTGATGAGTACCGCAGTATTACCATGTACAAAAGCATGCTGCTCAGAAAATTCTCTTTGCAGCCCAGCTCCCAACCGCCAGAGGCCAGAGGTGCGGCCAGCCACTCTGCTAGCACAGGCCCCCTGGTCCATCAATCACAGGCGACACTTCCTCCCTCCCACCCCCATAGCCCCACTTCCCAACTCTGATCATGTCATAACCAAGAGGAAGCTGCATAATGCAACTAAAGCGTCCTAGTGCTGCCTTGCTGTCCCATGGGAGTCACAGCAGGAGGAATGCTTGCATGCAAATGGAGGACAAGGGGAAGCAGCTGCCACATCCCTCCGTGCGAGGGCTCCAAGGCCTGGGCCGCAGTGGCAACAGACACCTGAGAGCAGAGGGAGAGAAATATTTAGGAAGTGAATTGACAAGATTGGTTGTTGAGAGGTTGGGGAGAGAAAAGAGAACGGGGGAGTCAGGGGTGTGCCCAGGTTTCTCGCCAGTTACTGAGACATGCGCCCCAGGAGAGAAAACCCGGTATTGGGTTGGGAGCCCCAGGGCTGGATCCACCAAAGGCTCCTGCTTTCCTGTGGGGCCAACTCTGTGGTGTTTTGGGAGGGAACAGGGAGGCTCAGAGGTCTGGGTTAGGCTGGCCGTGTCCCATCCCTCTAGGGCTAGATCCAGAAATGCATCTTCTCTCTCCTGAACCTGCAAAGACCACGTGCTCTTTGTGCCTCTTAAAGCCCTTATCACGACGTTCATTTCTGTAGCCTGCAGTTGATCCAGGCTACTGGCGGGCCCCCCATCAGCAGCCCAGCAAGTGGCCCCCCACTGTGCTGGTCCACCCAGGGGCAAGGCAGGCCTGTGGTCCCCCCTGTTGGGGCTCCCATCCCGGTTCCTGCGCGGCGGGCCCAGGGGAAGGGCCTGCTTTGTCAGGGTGTGGTAGCAGTGCAATGGGCTCATGCTCTGAGCGCATCTAGGACAGTGCCTGCCTGGCCCTTGCATCTACCAGGGGAAGTGTTACCTTTGCTGCTGGTAATGGCTTCTTCTCCTTTTTCCCTTCTCCTTCCTCTTTTTCCATCCTTCCTCTCCTTGGTATTGTTGCTACCATGTGGCACGGTATGTGTGTTGGTTTCCTGTGACTGCCATAACAAATTATCACAACCTTGGTGACTTAAAACAAAAGAAACGTATTCATTTATGCAGAAATTTATTTATGTATGTATGTATTTATTTCTTCTCTCACAGTTCTGGAGGCCAGAGTCTGAAATCAAGGTGTCAGCAGGGCCGTGCTCCCTCTGAAGACTCCAAGAACCGCCTTTTCCAGCTTCTGGTGGCCCCAGGCATTCCTTGGCTTGTGGCTGTGTCCCTCCAATCTCTGCTTCCATCTTCTTCCCTGTGTGTCTCAGATCTCCTTTTTCCTCTCTCTTATAAGAACCCCTGTTGCTAGATTTAGGGCCAACCTGGATAATCAGAATATCTCATCTTGAGACCCTTAACTTCATTACATCTGCAAAGATCCTTTTACAAATAAGGTCACATTTACAGATTCCGAGTGGACCTATCTTTTAGGGGGTCAACACTCAACACACTATAGTATAAATATTAGGATTTCCCATCAACACTAAGATCACAGGCCACATCACCCGCGTCTTCTCTGGGCCAGGCCTCTGCAGAGCACCCACAGACCTAAGTGCCCACAGCTGGGACAGGAGGCCAGACCACAGCTTAGATCAACTCTCCGGAACTCATGGGGAAAGCGGTCCTGGAGATCAGGTGACCCAACCCCGTCACTAGCCTGGCAGGGGAAAGGGAGGCCCCCAGAGGAGGCCTTCCCGGGGTAGGCAGGCTCTTCCCTGAGATCTCCCTCCTGCTGCCTCTCAGCAGGCCTTGAGAGGGCATCTCGTGTGTGCCTGGGCAGTGCTCGCTGCTGGGACAATTGTTACATAAAGCCCCCCCTCTCCCTTGTGGTCTCTCCCGGCAGCCACAGGCGTCATCCTGCTCCTGCTCCTGCTCTCGGGGCTGCCCAGACTTCGATAAGGGGATGCAGAGGGTTCTCCCATTGCCCGACAGCCCAGAGACACACACACTAGCAGGAGGCAGTGGACCCTGAAGCTAAAGTCCTGGGTTCGAGCCCTGACTACCAGGCCTGTCATTTCAGGCCACTTCATTGAGGTAAAATGGCAGCAGTAAGCCTAATCAGGTTGTGAAGCACTTGCGGCAGGGAAGTGGAAACGTTTTGCAACCTGCAAGGGGCCCTGCAGGAGGCACTCATAGAGATGCCGGGCCACTCCTCCCACCCGCATGGCCTTGGGGCTGGGACTGATCTGTCTCCTGCATTAGATGGCACAAACTGTTGCCCCTCATGCTGGGAAAAGCAAGGACTGAGGAGAAAGCGAGGGCTGCGGGGGAGGACGGCGGGGGGAGGCCCGTGCAAAGCTCAGCCCCCCTCGCACATTTCTAAGAACACAGTGATGAGCCAGAAAAGAGAAAGACCATGTCTTTCACCAAAGGGGGGAGGGGACAACCCAGTGACCAATTTCGGTGATTAGCTGCAAGAAGAGGGCCCTTTATTCCAGGCGTGTGTATGCCTTTTAATTTCCTCTTGTGGGTTCCTGAGGGGGCCCAGTAACCGTGCAATTGGTATTCCTCGCCAGCCTCGAAGGATGTGGACACTCTCTCGGAGATGGCTCCAGGTGGTACGGAGTGCCACCTGCACTCCCAGCTTCCCGATTAGCTGCTCTGCACCAACCTCCTCGGGGCAGGGGAGGGGAGGCAGCGGACCGGACCGGGTCTGCCCCCGGTTCAGATGGGTCTTCTCCAGGCTGGAGGCAGCAGCAGCCAGGTCCGAGTTGACCTTGGCACCTCCCCTGCTTTGTGCGAGACAAAATAAAAAATGTACAATTGGTGACAAAGGGACATGACCCCCTTAAGCAATTGTAGGCCCAGAAGTTACAAAGCAGGCCAATTAGGGGGCGGTGATTTGCATTACAAGAAGACCCTTTGCTTCATAAAAGGAGTTCTCAGTGGGCTGCAATAGGTTGCGCCCCAGGGGGGTTAAAGATTCAATTTACAGAACAGTGATTCGCCCACAACTCTCCCACAGCACGCCCCTTTGTGTAAACGAGTGCATCTGTACTGACTTTTGACCAGCCTCCCAGTCCTGAGATTTGTTGTTTCGCAAACGACACAGGCAGTCCTTACACTAGCTCACACGCACACACGCCTGCTTTGCCGTGCCCTGCCAATTTCTCAAAAACAGAAGATGCGGCTCCTCCCCAGGCTGGCACCTGGCTTTGAAGGTAAACATGGTGGCCAAGTGCCCGGGCCCAGGAAGGGAGGGATGTTGGGGGGCTAAGGGGAGCGTTGGTTGGGTAAGGCCTGAGTTGGTCCCGCTGGGCCACCAGCCATTTGCGGGGCCTATTCCCTCTTTGAGGCCTTTAGTGTCCATGTTTATAGAACAAGGAAAGATTGATACAGTAATTTCCAATGGCACTTCCAGCTTCACCATTCCAGGAGCTCCCCTCTGGGGCTGGCTGAGTGGCCCTGGGGATGCCCTGGACCTGTGACGTGGGATAAGGATATTGCCCTGGATAATGCCCAGAATAATGGCAAGGGGGAAAATGAAATATGCTTGTGAAAGTAGTTTAGATATTGTCCCTTTTACAGATGTTGGAGATGCGGCTGATGGCCTGTGTTCCTGTAAAGAAGGGCATCTCAAAGTCACCTGCCGCACCATCTAAGCGCTCAGATGGCCAGGAACCTGCTCGGTGGAACAGCCCAGTGCAGAGGTATTCTAGGGATCAGCTTGGCAAGCTCTGTGAGGTTTCCATTCCAACCAGTGCCCAATGGAAGTACACTCTTTCCCCTACGTCGTGAAATTTAGAGAAAAGTAGAATCCCAAAACACAAAGTTTGAGTTTCACAGAACTTAACTGGACCAAAGTTTGGAATATAGTAGGAGCTTAAGGAAATGACTTGGAAGTGCCCATTAGAAGTTGAGTTTTGAAATGAAAACCAATTGTTCATGCTAGCCCAGGCTCTGCGACTCAACTCGAAAAGCAAGGGTGCTGGGGTCACTGGGATGGGGGGAGGGGCTTGTGTTGTCAGCAGCTCTTACATAACCTTGTGGTGCTGCTGGCTGGAGGCCCCGAAACTTTGACCCCCGCCATTGCTCAAGTTGAGAAGCAGTTCGTACACACCCTAAGGATTCAAGGTGATTTTTAAAAGTTCTGAAATCCAAGCCTCAACCACAGAGTTGTTCTCAGAGCTAGGAAGTTTGAGGAACTTAAAATGAACTAGGAAAAAAGGCAAAAGAGGAAGAGCTAGAACAGAGAGATCGAGAAGCTCAGAAGAAGGGAGATGGGGAAGGGGAGAGAAGAGAAGAAATGCCAACATTTCCCGATGATTTTAATTTTCACTTAACAAAGCCCCAAGGGGCTGTCATCCATTACACTTCCCCATGCCCCGCTCCGTGACCACAGGTAGGGCCCTCAGGGAGGGAAGAATGTAGAACTCACTTCTTCCGGCCCCAACCAGATCTGCCTACTGCTGTGTGGGCACTAGGGAGGGAAGAGCCCTGACAATTGCCAAGGGCCTCCTCTCTCTGAGGGGAATGGCCAATTTTCACCCCCACCAGAGGGTGAGCGCTGCTCCAAACTCCCCTCCTGGATTGTACTTACCTCAGTGCCACAGGAGCCTGGAGTCAGACAGAGGCCACCTCACATCAGCAGGGGCACCTAGGACTCAGTGAAGGAGGCGGTGACAGACTGCAGAAGCCATCGCTCCAGTCTCAGTCGGCAGGTCCTCATGCAGTCCGCAAGGGGCTGAGCATCCCAGCCCCTGGGCTCAGGGACAGGCCATGGCCTCCATGCTCCTAGTCCCTTCCTTGAAGGGTCGGATAAGTCACATGACGAGCCTCAAGCAAGGGACTTTGAGCTGGTGGCTCCCAGCAGCCTCCTGTTCCTGAACCATCATCGTCTCCTCCCGAAGTCCTCCCATCCTCTGCCCCTGCCTGTGCCATCCCTGGGGAAGCTTTGCCAAGAGCAGAGGCGGCCTTCTGCCTCTGTCTGGGTGATGAGAGGACTGGCCTCTGTCCCAGCTTTGCCATTAGCCGACCAATCAGTTTCCCGTGGCTGCTGTAAGAGAGTACCACCAACTTAGTGGCTTAAAATAATGTAAATTTACTCTCCTCGTTCTAGGGGGCAGAAGCCCAAAGTTAGTTTCATTTGGCTGAAGTCAAGATGTCAACAAGCTGGCTCCTTCTGGAGGCTCTGAGGGGAGAATCCATTTCCTTGGCCTTTTCCAGCTTCTGGTGGCTGCCTGCATTCCTTGGCTCGTGGCCCCATCCTCCATCTTCAAAGTGCATCACTCCAACCTCTGCTTCTGACATCACGTGGCCTTCTCCTCTTCTGTCTGTGTCAAATCTCCCTCAGCTTCCCTCTTATAAGGACACTTGTGATGGCATTTAGGGCCCATCCAGAAAATTCAGGCTAATCTCTCCTTCTCAAGATCCTTTATTTAATCACACCTGCAAAGTCCCCTCTGCCGTATAACATTCACTGGTTGCAGGGATTGGGACATGGACATCTTTGGGGGCCAGTATTCAGCCTCTGACACGAGGTTCGGGTCTTTGGGCAGCTAAGTTGCCTCACCTCTCTGAACTTTAGAATTCTCATTTGTACAAAAGGGATGAGGCTCCTGTCCTGCTGACCTCTGGGCTTAATGAGAGGTTCCAGAGAGGTGGTAGAGGTCATGGCTTTTTGTAAAATGTTAAATGAAGACCGGTATAAGTACTGAGGTTCGTTCTTGTTGCCTTTTCTGTGAAGCTGAGACCCCTCAGTTCAGTCACACACAGCCCAGAAACTCTGCCTCCACAGCCTTCTCCAGGTGTGTCTTGATAGATGCTCTCCAAGTTGAACTTTAGGCAGACTGGCTCCTCCCACCCTGTCACAATGAGTGACAGGGAGAGTGGAAGGTCCTTCGGTGGGTGGCAGCCATTTTGGCTTTGATCCCAGGCACTGTCGAGTGATCATCTCAGTTGGCCAAAGTTTCCCTTCCCACTCTGCTGTGTGGTGGTTCCAGTGAGGCCCACATGTTTATACATCATAAGGATAAAGCCCTAAGCACAGTGGTTGGCACAGAGGAAATGGCACACAATCATTCTTCTCTGAGAAGCAGTTAAAGCAGCCTGTGCTCGTCACCCCTTTGGTACTTCTGGAACCATCCTTTACTTCTTCCATAAGATCACGACCAACAGCCACAGTGGCAAGGCATGAGTACTTCTTGGCGTTGGTGCTATCCTGGCCCTCTGCCAGTTGCTGTCCACGGTCACTTTGGTGGATCAGGCCTTACTGTCAGTCTCCGCCGACCAGCCTGACTGGGGGCAGGTCACAGTTTGTCCAGCAGCGGATAGGAGGTAGGCAACGGCTGGCGAAGGCTGTATGGAGACATTGGCAAAACACCCTGGGCGCATGGCTTCAGCTGGCTCCTGGGGCTTGGCAGACACCGTGCAGATTAGCAGCAAGCTTTCCAAGGGAAACAGTTGTCTCTACCCAAACCCAGGGGAGTTGCATCTGCTCCCACCTTGGGGGGGCTCAGCTAAGCCTGTGAGAAACTGAGAACAGGAAGACTCTTTCTGAACATGGCCCTCCGACTCCTTCTTCATGCCAGCGTGGAGACGGGATCAGGCCGGGGCAGGGGGGGTGGGGGGGAAGGCAGGGGAGGGGAGGAGGATTGGTAAGGAGAACTTGGCCATTATTCCACAAGACAGCCAGGCTGGCAGCTTTCTCTGTGGGTGCTGCCCGTCCCAGTCCTGGTCTCTGACCTTTTCCTGAGGGGCCCTGTCATCTACAAAGCACAGCACCATTTCCCAGGGCCTTCTCCAGCCATCTTCATCACTGCGGTGCCCTACAGACCTGAAGAAAGGCAGGACAGTGACACTTTTTCCATTTTACAGGTCGGGAGACGAGCCAGGGGGAATTAACCTGCCCAGATCACACACACGCACATGGAACTGGCAGCAGACTTCCCATGCCCAAACCCAGTCTTTGGATTGTGGTCTAGCACTGTCTGTCTGAATGCAGGAGGCCACACAGCACTGTTGGCTGAAACGTTATCAGCTTATTCTCCTTGTGCATTCTGCATGCGATTCCACGCATACTCATTTCCACTCTAGAGCAGCTCTGTCGTTTGGAAGGCCCGCTCCACGTGATGTGCCCAATTACTTTGATGTCTGAATTAGTCATTCTGTTTCTCTAACAGGTAACTGAAGCTACCTTTTGCGTACTTGTTTGCTTGTTTCTATTGGCTTGATTTTTCTTCTTTATGGACTGTGTAAGCCAACTTGACATCCGTTACAGACCCCAAGTTGGTAGGTGCACACAGTCTTCTGCGTGGTCCGACCCCAATACAGGTATAGACTCTGGAGATAAAAAGACTTACTTCTCTCAGGATTTAGGGGTGGGGAAGCTGCACCCTCCTAGAAAAAACTTAAACATCAATTTGTAGACAACCTGGGGGAGCAGGACACCTTGTGCGGGACTTAATTTGGAGTGGGGGTGTGGTCCTCAGTAATGCAGTGACATAGGAACACAGTCCTGTTTATTCTAGAGTGGCAGTTCCAACAATGTGGTCCAGGGACCCCTGAGGGTCCCTGAGACCCTTTCTGGGGCCTACATGACCAAAACTCTTTTCACAATAGTACCAAGATATGTTTCCCTTTTCCCCTTTCCTCACCCAGTTTCGCCGTGGATTTTTCCAGAGACAACACGATGTGATATCACAACAGATTGAATGCAGACGCAGTTACAAGAATCCAGCTGTCTTGTATTAAGCCTGACATTAAAGAGATTTACAAAAACGTAAAACAATGTCGCTCTTCTCACTAATCGTTTTTGTTTTGGAAAATATAGTTATTTATGTTAACATATAATGGGTTTATTATTTTTATTTTAAAATGAATTAATAAATATTTTAAAGTTTTCTCAGTTTCAATTCCTAAAACTGTAAATATCTATAGATAGAGAGAGGCCACATGAGCAAGAGCTCTTTGGGCTCCTCAATGATTGTTAAGAGTGTGAAGGGACCCTAAGACCAAAAAGCTTGAGAATTTCTGTCCTAGAGAAACAGGAGGCCCTTCCATTGGACACCTGCGGACACCGTGTAGGGCAGGAAATTGCCCAAGGTCACCCAGTGATTTCTTAGCAGAAATGGGACTTCAATCCATGTCTTCTGAGTGCTCAAGTCTGGATTTCCAGAGTATTTTTATCAAAAGCTTCAGTGGCTCGGCTTTGGGGCAGGGACCTAAATGAATAACGCACCATACTTTCCAGAGCTACCAAATACTTGAGATTCCAGTGAGTCTCAGGGCTTTACCCACAAGGGGATTTCATCCACCTACTACCTTGAAGAATTAGGTGAGGGGGAGAAACTCACCCAGACCATGCATTGAGCCAGTAGCCCAGCAGAACCAGAATAGGCTTCCAACCCCGGTCAGGGCCCCTCCTAGAGACTGTTGCTGCTGCGTGGGAGACTCCGGTCAGCCGAAAGACCCTCCTTGTGACAACAAAAGGTACTAAAATTGGCCAGGACCCATCAGTAGACTCTGAAGACTCTTGAAAAGGCTAAATGCCCCTACATCAGTCCTCTCCCCAGCTCTGTCCACAAGAGATATCAGTTATACCTTACCTCACTGCTCTGATTGCTCCTGCATCCAGGAGTGGGAATTTACTAAAGACCTGCACCTACAACAGTATCTCATGGCATTGAGAATGTCTGAAATCTGCACACGCCAGGTAGCTCCCTTAAATGCCCTTGTTCTTTCATCAATTTCCACACCACCACCATGTAACCTGTGTGCACAGATTGTTAAAAAGTGCTGTCTCCGTGCTCTGTGGGCCCTTCAATCAAACCTCATTTGATTTTAATAGCACTGAGGCCCTTGTGTTATTCCAGACATCAGACTGTCTGAGCTGCAGAATTGACATGCGCTTCCTCTCTGAATTGTTACCGAAAGATGAGAGGGGAGGGACTGTGATTTGGGTATACTTATGGTTCGCGCTAGTAATGACGCGCCAGCCACATACTCATTAAACACTGTGGCTTTTAAACAAGCTTGACATTCGAGCATTCTTGCTGGTCCATTTCCAGCCCATTTGCAAATTGAAAAGGGAGCTGTTGAATCTTGCTTTGCGATAGACGACTACCGTGGCATCCTGGCCTGGAGTTTCCAATTTACCAGTCTTGGCCGCGGGTCAGGTGGAGCTCAGCATTGCAGGAGGACCGGCTGAGGGAGAAAGGAGAGTGCACTCTGGAAGAGGAGGGGCCCAGTCTCACTACTCCCCTTGACATGTATCATTAACTATTAATCGAGAATCATTATTTTTGTGGATTTGTCACAATTGCCTTCTACAACTGGCTTCCTCAGTGCTGTGCTAATTATCCGTATGTGCTCCGAGGCACATTTGTGAATGCCAATCATTTATTTCCAATTTACATAATCACAGAGGGCTGTTGAAAAGGGAAATGCTTTAGAGTCAGTGCATTAGCATTGGCCTCCAGATCATTTTACGCTCTGACTTGACAAGTCCATTCCTATCATAAATAAACTTAACCTTTTGCATCCCTGGAGCAGGCAGGGAAACTGGCAACATCTCTGCAAGGGTCATTTATCTCACATGATCTACCAAGTTAGGTGCTCTATTGTGCTTTTATTAAAAAGACAAAATAGATGCAACTTCCAAAGCTGACAGAAGAAGAAACAGAAAATTTGAGTAGTCCAATATCTATTGAAGAAATTGAATATTAATTAAAAACCATCCCACAAAGAACCTCCAGGCCCAGGTGGATTCCCATGTGAATCCTTCCAGACGTTTAAGGAAGAAATAACGCTAACCTTACATAAGCTCTAGCAGAGAACAGAAAAAGGGAACACTTTTTTTTTGATGAGGCCACTATAACCTTAATTCCAAAACCTGACCAAGATATTACAAAAAAGGAATATTATAGACCAATTTGTCTCATGAACATATTTTCACAAATCTTTAATAAAATATTAGCCAATGAGATCCAATATATATACACAAATAATATTTATTGATATATTTATTTAGATACAGATATATAATCTATACATATATCCTTATTCAAATTCTATTCATATATATGCCCATATATATATATTTTCATATATATGTATATATACACATATCTGAGTGTGTGTATGTGGAGAAAGAGAGAGAGAAAGAGAGAGCATTTCACATTCATGTTCTTTCTGGTGTTTTCAGGAATCACCTCCTTGTACTCTAATTCTTGACCTAATGTCCACTTCTGGGGAAACACAATCTAATTCCATAACGAATTGAGGTTTATTCCAGGCATGCAAGGGTGGTTTAGTATTAGAAAATAAATCAATGTGATTAAATATTAACCAAGAAAAAGGAGATAAATCATACAACTAATTAAATAGATTCAGAAAAGCATGTGACAACGTTCAATAGCCATTCATGATAAAACAAACAAAAATCTCTTAGCAAACTAGGAATAGAAGGGAACTTTCTAATCTGATAAAAAGAAGTCAGAAAAAACTATAGTAACCGTCATAATTGACAGCAAAATATTAAAATCTTTCCCCATAGATTGGGAATGAGAAAAAGTTGCCCACTAGCACCACTTCTATTCCACATTGTACCAGAGGTCCAATCTAGTTCAACAGAAAATAAATCTGTTACTCACAAACTACATGACTGGGTACATAATAGATCTAATAGAATCCACAGACAAACTATTAGAATCAGTTGCATTTTGATATATCAGCAACAATAAATAGCAAATAAAATTAGAAAAGTATCAAAAAATATCAAATACTTAGAAATAAATCCTAGAAATAAATGACAGATGTGCAAAAATTCTAAACTGAAAACAAGAAAACATTGTTGAGAGAAATCACAAAGTTCTTAATAAAAGGAAGGAAATACCATTACTTATTGGTTGGAAGACCAAATACCATAAATATATCAATTTCGCTTACATTAATCCATAGATTCAACACAATCCCAATAAAAATCCAATTAGGCTTAAAAATTTTTTTTCACTGCTAGATATCAAGAATGATATAATAGGGGTCGGCCTGGTAGCGTACTGGTAAGATTCACGTACTCCGCTTCGGCAGCCCAGGGTTCACAGGTTCGGATCCTGGGGACAGACATACACACCACCCATCAAGCCATGCTGTGGTGGTGTCCCACATATAAAATGTGGGCAGGTGGACACAGATGTTAGCTCAGGGCTAATCTTTCTCACCAAAAAAAAAAAAAGGATGTAACAAGACTGAGATATTGGTGCAAGGACAGTCAAAAGTCATTTTGAAAATGTAACAGAATAAAAAGTCTAGAAACAGCCCAACATATTTATTGTTACCTGCTTTATGAAAAAGATAATCTCTTCAATAAATTACTATGGGTCTGTTGAATATCACATGGGAAAAATACTCTGTGAGCTCCACCTCACATCATATACCCAAAAGAATTCTAGGTGAAGTGTAAAAGGTAAAGGAAAAAATATTTAAGAGGAACATAGGAGAACATATTCGTGACTTTAGAGTAGGCAAAGATAGCTTAAAAGGGACACAAAATGCACTAACGATATTAAAAATATAATAAATTAAATTGCATTAAAATTAACTTTTGTTTATGAAAAAAACATTAAGAGTGGAACAGGCCATCCTCAGAGACAGGAGAAGACATTTGCAATATATATATTCAGGTCCTTCGCCAAGTTTTCTATTGAGTGTCTGTCTTTTTCATATTGATTTGTAGGAATACTTTGTATCTTATATATTCTGGATAGTTTGAGATATATGTCCAGAATATGTATCCAAAGGACTATCTAGAATATATGAAGAATTCCTACAAATCAATAAGAAAAGGACAGACATCTCATTAGAAAATTTGGCAAAGGGACTGAATAAACATTTCACAAAAGAGGCTGGACAGCCAAAATGGCCAAAGATGTTCAACCTCAGGAGTCTTCAGAGAAATGCCAACTACAGTTACCACACAATCCTTCTGCTGCAGTGGACTCTGCTGTGTGCTTCCCGGGTTCCCCTCTCCCGTTCAGCACCCAAGCACGCATCTCCCCACTGCCTAGTGTTGACAGCTGACAGCTCTCAGCTGAGATTCCCCCTGCTGGTGATTGCCCTCAGCTGAAAAGAGCCACCTAGCCTGAAGCCATTTCTCTCCCCTGGGGAAGCCTGCATCCAATGACTAGTCGACGTGAGAAACGAAGGCTCATCCCTGGCTCCAATTGGGTAAAATTCTGAAGGGTCATTCCAGGTGCAGAGTTCTCCATGAGATTGGCTGAGATCTTTGGTGTGACTGCATTGCAATCCAACCTCTCCCCATGCCTAACCCTGCTCCCTTCACTCCCTCAAAGATACTGTTCCTGAGAGCACTCCCCGATAAACTTCCTGCCCGCTGACATTTCTCTTAGAGTCTGCTTCCCAAAGAGCCCAGCCTGGACAGCTACTCACCATCTTAGAATGGCTAAAATGAAAGACAGATAGCACCGTGTGTTGAGGAGAATGAAGACCAACCAGAACTCTCATATGCAGATGTAGACCAATCGGACTACTCATACACTGCTGGTGGGAGTGTAAATTGTACAACCACTTTGGAAAACAGTGTGACAGTATCTACTACAGCTGAACACATATACATGACTCAACTATTTCACTACTAAGTATTATAACCAACAGAAATGTATATATGTGTTCACCAGTGGACGTGTACACAAACGGTCACAACAGCTTTATTCACACTGTCCAAACTGGATATAGCCCAAATATCCATCAAGTGTACAAGGGTAAATA